GCTTTTATAAGGCGCCCAGTTTTTAGTTCTAAAGCAATCATTGAAGATTTTCCTTATTTTGTCTCTTTGGGCTCTGAGATCCCCATTCCACCAGGGTGGGGATTTCTTTCTTGCTGTACTAACTGGAGTTGATCTTTCAAAGGCTTTCTTCATAACCTCTTCTAGTTTATTTACTCTATTATCAAGATCCTCAACTGTAGTGACAGTTGTATTTAGTGGGAGCTTACTTAGTTTACACTTAAGTGTGTTACTATATCTTTCCCAATTAGTCCTGTGGGGGCTCCTGTATTTCGAGGGGGTGTTGGAAATTCCGTGTAGATTAAAGAGGATCAGACGGTGATCAGACATTGAAGGCCTATTAGATCCAGCACCTCCTCCCATCCAGGAAACTGGTTTGAACTCGGGAATATGAATGTGGGTGTATTACCTCTATTGCAGATGCTTAAATTAGTATTTAATAAGAAGTGTAGTAAAGACTCACCTCGGTCGTTCTCCGTAGAACTACCCCAAACTGGATGCCTTGCATTCGCATCGCAGCCGACGACTTAAATTTGTCTGGGGTTTTTGGCTATCATCTCCTGGATTTCGGTTGGCGGACTGTCCCTATCGTGGGCCATGTATGATAAGGCCAGGAGTATACTTGGCTGTCCGGTGGTCTCCACCTTAACCATTGTTGTATCTGATGTGCTGAAATTAGAGCAAAGGAATGCATTTATACCGTTCTTGATAAGAATACACGCCCGCGGTTTACCCACCTCGCTCTTATAGTAGAGTTTATAATTATTTATGTTTAGTCTCATGACTGTATCGTGCTTGACCCAGGGCTCTTGAATTAGGCTAATGTCTATATCCTCCTCACTGAGAAGGACAACTAGATTATCTGTAGCACATTTGGAGTGCTGCAGATTTATTTGGGCTACTTTAAGTTTCCGGTTCAGGGTCATCTGTCAACTTCACACCCATGAGAAGCTCACCAGCTCCATCAACCCCGGGATCTTCTTCTACCGGGCTAACCTCTCCAAGGAATACCCGCACTCTAGCCTTACGGATACCGAAGCAGAGTCGATAGTCAGCCTTCTCTAAGGCGTCCAGTGATTCTGCGCAAATAGCTAGCAGAATGGGCTTATTTGTAGGCCTTCTTGGCTCTTCAACCTTTATAAGCTCCCATTCCTCGATCGCCGGTATGTCTTTATTATGTAGCTTAAGACACCGCAGCAACTTTTCGCCTGGTTCATCCATCGGAGGCAGCCAAATGCGCGCACGTGGTCTCCTTGGAATGTCCTTAGCTGGAATCAGCTTGAGCTTCAAGCCGACAAAAGTGTCGCTGATCTTAGCGACGCATCCAGCAAGGAAATCCAGGGAGAACTGGTTCGCGCACTTGACTACCCGGTATCCCCGTAGGGATTCCGACGAGTCGAACTCTGGGTGAGGACCTTCGGGGTTGTCGAGTACGTAGTTCATTACGAGGCTCGACAGCCTCACATCAATCTCCACCCATTTTTGCTGCACTGCCAGCGGTGTCTTGCTATTTTCATCTATTATCGCCGCCTGTAGGTGATCTCTGGCGACGTCACTAAAATAGCGATGCTTCGCGGGTGCTGCGGACTCCGCATCACTCCCTTGCTTAGCCTTCTTTGCAATGGCCCCTTGGCCGCCTTCATTATGAGAGCGGTTCCGTTTCTTTGCTTCTGTGGCCTCGATTGTGGCTGCACGATCTTTCTGTAACTTTTCGTACTCTTCCACTATTTGCATGTATTTTGCCTTGTCTTCCTCGTCACGCTCATGTACCGTACCGGCCGCTGCATTTTTGTCAATTTTATTTAACATATACAGCGCCTTCTGGTACATCTGTCTCATGACCACGCCCGAGGGTTTCATTTTCTTAGAGGCGGGATTGCTGCCTGCAACGGCCGCCGATTTGCTGGTTGTTGGTTGCTCGTCCGGAGTACTACGGCAGGCACTACCGGTGCTATTTTTGACTATTTGCAGAGTGGTGATGCTTTGTCTGACATCTTCCACCCTGCTGGTTTCTGGCGCTTGTACAACTGGGGTACTATGGCTGGCGCCACCAGGAGTACTTGCAACCATCTTACCTCTCTTTGGGGATTTGAGGAGCTGCTCCTCCTCTGACAGCGTTACGTCGTCCCCTTCTTCGTTGGTACGCTGTTCATGTTGCTGTTTTTGGTTTGTTTGTTGTTTGTTTTTTGTTTGTTCTTCCATATGTGGTCCCACGAGTAGTCCGGAAAGGGTTAGTCGCTCGTCCGCAGAGCCGGGATGCGTAGAGAAGGCACTTCTTACAACCGACCTTGCCCGGGCATCGGAGGGGACCGTACGCGACCAGCCATTTTTTACTACCCGCTGGCCATTCATCCATCGGCACGGTTGCCTACACACCTTGGCTTGGGTAGTGTTGGTACGGTAATCCTGCCATTTCCACCTCCAGCAATAAAAAACAACCAGCCTCATTGCGTAAGTCGTAAATTAGGCTGAATTGTACGACTCGACAACATTAGCATTGTCTACTGTCGTGCTGAAATAAGTAAACGACAAAAATTGTCGAAAACTATGCAGTGCTGCCAAGTTCTTCCGTTTTAATACACTAGTCGAGTGGAAATTTTAGGCAATGACGCTAAATTTTCGATACGATTCGACTCTCGAAAAACGACTTGCATTCGGCACGACTCTCGCAATGAGGCTGAACACTCCAGCTTGGATTGTTAAGGAATATTGCCGAAGGCTTCAATACCAGGCTTCCCTCTTAGTTCATGGAGGCATGATACAATTCACACTGTGAATTATACCATGACACCATTTAAGCCCCCTCGCCACGGCAAGACGCCCAACGCTGAGGAGGGTGGCAGGGGGTATATATATGTTAAATATTTCGAGCTCGACATCGCTTGACCGGATAGCAATACCCTGACATTCTGGGATGGTATCCCTGCGGTCGATGTCTGCTTCGATAAGACGATACCGCACGGCGTGGTGCGTAATGAACGCCAGGCCACCACCATTATCTCGTTTGCGATCTCGACTGTGCACGTTGTTTCCGGCGCAATTCAACAACATTGAATTGCCGTGCGGCTTCGTCTCTTGGACCGCAGCTATTAATATTCCGTGCCCACCCATGAAGACTGTTATCTCCTCGATCTTGCTCTGAAATCCGTTAAAATTTAATTGTAAAATCTTCGTGTGCGTAGGGAGACTTATTGGAATGTGGGGTGTTAGTGGCGTG